ATATATATATATATATATATATATATATATATATATATATATATATATATATATATATATATATATATATATATATATATATATATATATATATATATATATATATATATATATATATATATATATATATATATATATATATATATATATATATATATATATATATATTTATATATTATCTTATTTATAACTACATGTAAAATAGATTATATATATATATATATATATATATATATATATATATATATATATATATATATATATATATATATATATTTATATATTATCTTATTTATAACTACATGTAAAATAGATTATATATATATATATATATATATATATATATATATATATATATATATATATATATATATATATATATATATATATATATATTAACATATTAACAACTACTTTACTTTTGCATAGTAAATTTTTATACTTGCTCTGTTCTTTTAAGAACATTAAGCACTGTATTTTGTTAAATATATTTTAAAATTGTCAAAATGTAATATACTTTTATATATATTGTAATAATATATATCAAAGTAAATTGCATATTGCACATAATTATATATATATATATATATATATATATATATATATATATATATATATATATATATATATATATATATATATATATGTATATATATATATATATATATATATATATATATATATATATATAGCTATATATATATATATATATATATATATATATACATATATATATATAGCTAGTAGTATATTAGTCGAATTACTATTTGTAAATATCCATGAAATTATTTTTCAGAATATATATATATGATATGATTTTATATAATAAGTTATTTAATTATCTTCACTTTTTTTTCCAGATGTTTGTAAAATGGTTTATTGTGTTGTGTCAATAGATCAAAAATCAATACTAATGTTGATTGATTTTTTGTTCTTTGACACAAAAGCTTGAAATTTGGTAGAAAAATTTTGCTCTTTGACATACTGGGAAAGAAAATATTTTTTCAATGATTGGATTTTAGTATTCATGACTAATAAGAAGTAATTTTTGTTAACGGTGAGTAAATTTTCCAAGTTACCTTTACTTTTTATGTTGCGTATAAATTTTAGGACCATAGTGCAATTTTGGTCATATAAGCATATGTATTTAAGTTTGATGTTTTTAAACATTTAACTATAATGAATATTAAGTGTTAGCTTTATTTCACTAGCTTCAAAATTCTGAAATTACTTTACTGTTTATGATATCAGAATCATTTTAGACTGGATATGCTTTGAGTGAGATTTTTATTAAATTGCCAATTGAAAATATTTAATAAAAATAAAAATAAAAAAAATAAAAAATTAAAATATATTTTAAAAATGGTTTTTTCAAATCTTTGTAAAAAAAATTTTTGTTTGTTTAAAAAATTCTAAAAATGACAAAATATTTAGCATTTATAAATTAATATTACAAATATTTTGCTTAATATTTTTGTAGTTTAACATTGTATCTAGGAAATTTATTTCTTTAATTGCTTTTCTATATAGTCAAGTCTAACAAAATTAAAAACCTAATTGATATATTATATTGGAAATTCTTGTGTAAACACATAAATATTTCTCTATTTCTAGATTATCAAGGGGCAAAAATCATTTAAACATTTTTTAAATTCATTGACACAACTAGATAGATATATATCAATGATTTAAATTCATTGATCGAAATTCATATCGATGGCGCTATGTACAGAAGTGTTAAGTACAACATTTGATCAAATTGAGCTAAGTACACAAAAACTGTTGTATTATTCAAAGATTATTCTGTCCGAATATGGTCAGTGTATGATAAATGTTATGAGTCTACAAATTGACATTACGTGTCAAGTACAAAAACGAAAAAAAAAAATGTATGCACAAATGCTCAAAGTGTCCTTGTTTATATATATATATATATATATATATATATATATATATATATATATATATATATATATATATATATATATGTATATATACACATATATCTATATATATATATCTATATATATATATATATATATATATATATATATATATATATATATATATATATATACATATATGTGTATATATACATATATATATATATATATATATATATATATATATATATATATATATATATATATATATATATATATACATATATATATATAAATATATATATATATATATATATATATATATATATATATATATATATATATATATATATATATATATACCTATATATATATATCTATATATCTATATATATATCTATATATATATATATATATATATATATATATATATATATATATATATATATATATATATATATATATATATATATATATATATATATATATATATATATATATATATATATATACCTATATATATATATCTATATATCTATATATATATCTATATATATATCTATATATATATATATATATATATATATATATATATATATATATATATATATATATATATATATATATATATATACATATATGTGTATATATACATATATATATATATATGTGTATGTATGTATGTATATATGTATACATATATATATATATGTGTATATATACATATATATATATATATATATATATATATATATATATATATATATATATATATATATATATATATATATATATATATATATATATATATTCTTGCATGGTAGTCACAAAGTTTTTCCCATAAACTGTTGTTTTAAAGAGCACATTAATAAGCCTGACCAGAAAATGTTAAAAAACTTCAAAAAATTTTTTTTTTTTAAATGATAGACTGCTTGCCCTAACCAAACCCTCAGTTGATGTAACAGCACTCCCTTGCGAGCCAGGCTATTTGTCAGTTAATGTAGCAGCACTCCATTGTGAGTCAGGCTATTTGTCAGTCGATGTAGCAGCACTCCCTTGCAAGTCAGGCTGTTTGTCAGTCAATGTAGCAGCACTCTGTTGCAGATCAGGCTGTAAGAGAGTCGATGTAGCAACACTCCCTTGTAGCAGCAGGCTATAAGATAGTCAATGTAGCAACACTTACGCATGTTTAAAAAATGTTTTTTAATAAAACAAAAACAAAAACACCACTAATTAAAAAAAACTTTATACTCATTATTATTGCGATTTTTTTAAAACCAATAAAATTTAATGTACTTCCGCATTAATTTAATTGCTTTGACATTTCGATTACAATAAATTGCAACTTAAGAGACGAGGTAAAAAAACTGTAGTCGAAAGAGACTTTTTTGTCTCTTTCGATTACACTATAAGGATATATATATATATATATATATATATATATATATATATATATATATATATATATATCAATATATATATCAATATATATATATATATATATTCATATATATATATATATATATATATATATATATATATATATATATATATATATATCAATATATATATATATATATATATATATATATATATATCAATATATATATATATATATATATATATATATTCATATATATATATATCAATATATATATATATATCAATATATATATATATATATATATATATATATATATATATATATATATATATATATATATATTCATATATATATATATATCAATATATATATATATCAATATATATATATATATATATATATATATATATATATATATATATTTATATATATATATCAATATATATTTATATATGCATATATATATATGTATATATATATATATATATTTATATATATATATATATATATATATATATATATATAAATATAAATATATATATATATATATTAATATATTTATATATGTATATATTTATGTATGTATGTATATTTTTTTCGTCTTTAATTTTCATAGTTATTTTAAAGTCATTTTTTAGGCTGAAGAAGAAAATTTATATTATAGACTTTTGAACTTTTTTAGTAATATTAGACAACGTCTTATTGACATGGGACAATGTAATTTTGCATAATTTTGAATAAATTTTTTTTTAACAATGCCAAGCTTGCAAGAACAAATAATAATAAAGAAAATTGTAATCAATTCACTAAAATAAATTACAGTTGTTTAAATTTAATGTAAAAGTAACAAGAAAAAAAGGAGATCGATACTTTTGCTTTTATATGTTTTTGTTTACTGTGCACCTTCGGAAGAATGAGAACAAGTAATTTCTGGAACAAAAACATAAACAAAGCGCTATTGTTTGCTTCCAGACTATATACTTCTTATGACTATGGTGCCACGCTTTTTTAAGTTCACATTTGGAGAGGTAGGTTGTGCAGTGTTTTGTTGCCTTGTTTTTTAGAATTTCATATTAACATAGATATTTTTTAAAAACTAGAATGATTATACTTTATTAATATGTGTCTTTTGATTACTATTACGTACTTTGTAAGTTGATTTATTGACATACAAAACTTTGTTGTACTTTGTGCATCCAGCAAATATTGAAGATATGGACAGCAATTAACTATCTTTTGCAGCCATTTAAGTTTACACATTTTTTATTTGTCTGCCAAATTTCGTTGAAAAAAAATGGGGCGCAGGCAGTCTATTTTGGGGCGCACTTTTGGTACCTATTTTCCTTAATCTGAAATCATTTGCGGGCAAAGGAGGGGGGGTGCAACACAAAATTCTTTTAAGTTTAACAAAATAAAACTTTGTAAACTTTTTATTAATGTTATATATTACTTTTTTTTTAGATAAAATGAGTGAAAATATTAATTAAAAATTAATCTCTTCACTCATCTTATCTACAAAAAATACTATTTGCATAAAAGATAACTAATAAACAAATTGAAAATGAAAATAAAAATATTTTATAATCATACAATGAAATTGTATGTGTATTGTAGTAAATGGTAGTATTTATGTGAAAAGCTATTTACAGGTACTATCTACACTGAAAGCTATTTACAGGTACTATCTACACTAATTATAGACATTATAATGTTTTTTTTTTTTTTAAATAATAAACATTTATTTGAAAAATATTTTTGTTTTATGTTTGCTTCAATGACATGAACTTCTTTTAAGGCGTTTTAATCAGAGTACTCTTTTGACAGAATTTTCATATTATGAATTTAATAATATTATGTATGTATGTATGCATGTATGTATGTATTATGTATATACCCATTTATGCTTGCATATATCTTTAGGAGAGTTCTCGATGAATTAAAGTCTATCTTTTCTTTGATGAATTAAAGTCTATCAGGTTCTTTTAATGCTGTTCCTTTGTTCTTGCGCATTAAAAAGCTTTAATTTCAAGCGCTTCATTATATATATATATATAAGTATATAATTTTTAATTACAATTTTATAACTGAAGAGTTGTCAGAATTTTACAACAAAATTGATTAAATTTTTTTAATTTACCCGTTTAGTAGTTTTTATAATACTTTTAATTGTTGTTGGTTTCAAAATACTAACGCAAGAAAAGTGTAATTTTAATACAATTAATTTTTGCTTAATTTTCAAATAGTCTATTGGGCTACATGTTTACTTTTTGGTCATAACTATGTTGTATGTATATTGATATAACTTTTGGTTTAGTTACATATATTAATACCATTTACAATTTGAAATGCAATTTATTATATTTATTGATATTGTCAAAAATATATATACAATTATTTTTTCTTTAGATTTTTTAAATATTAAACTAATATATCTCATGGTTATTACTTAATATGGAAATATTTTGACTTGCAAAATTTGTACCAGTTATTCTGAGTGGCAAACAGGTACTGTTATTGTAAGTGTCAAAGTGAGTGGTAAGGATCATTTAACTTTTTTTAGTGATATACATATTTAAGACAAATAAACTTTGAACCTTTTATTTAAATATTATTTTTTTGATTTGTTTTACATTCCTAAATTTATTAAGAAACTCATCAGTTGTAACTATTTAATGCTTTAATGGTATAATGGGTCGACACATATTTAAAGGAGAATTCAAAAAACATTTAATTAGTAATTTTACATTGCCATCTAACACAAATATTGGGTGCATGAATGGACACGTTCTGTTTCTTTATACTAGCAATGGTGAGTTGTTTAGCAAAACAGTTGCAAAAGTCAATGAGCATTTTAACTTGAATATTTGCTCCAGTCATATCAAAAAAGTAGTGTACATAGCCAAAAACTGGTCTAAAAATTTTTTAAGAAAATATGAAAGTTGTGTTGCATTTTGTAATGAGCCCTTTATAAACCGTGAACCACTGATTACAATTTTATCGCAGCCTATCTTAAGTAACACTAATTACACAATATCACATTCTTCTGTTTAATCATTGTCAGAACACAGCAGTGTCACATCTCTGATACGTAATGAACCTTCATGTTCTGCTGGACATGAAGCAAATTTAACTACTAGGCAGACTTCAATAGAAAAATTGAGCCCTAGGAAGAAAAAATTAACTAACTGGTTGTCTCATTTGTCTTCTAGATTATATGTAACGAAGTGGATCATACAGCTTTTTTATATTCAAACTTTCACTTTAAACCCTTTGAAGAATGTCGTCGTATGGTCATATCAAATATTTCAAACACAATGTCGGACAGAGTATCTGTTAACCATCTTACAATAAAAAAAATTGGTGAAACTTGGGGTAAAAGTCTCAATGAATTAAACTGTCATTTGCACCCTCTTGACACAATTGCCACATCGTGTCGTTCAGCATTAAAGTCTCTAGAGCTTGATAGCTGCAAATTATATGGAAATGTTAATTTTTTAGACAATAATAAACTACCACGAGGTATCATTCCAAGGTATCGTGGAAATCTCCTTCACGTTCTGTTCCACACTTGTTTTATTTTTATAAAACATTATAACAAATTTTCACATTTTTTAACTATAGGAACAGTAAAAATAAAAACTTTACAAAGGGTTCTGCGAGTAGCATTTTGTAATACAACTGCTATAAAGCAAATGTGTCTACTTGCTTTATTTGGAAAACTTCTTACAGGCCCGTGGATGACAATGTTTTATGTGTCATCTGAGAAAGCATATTTTGATCATGTTGGTGGTATCCAGATTGTTAAAAATGTTGTGCAAACAATTAAAGACTGCAAATGCGATCCAGCTGCAATATTTTGCAGAACAACAGATTTTTTTGGAAATGCTCTCAAAGCAAATGTGTTAGAACCATTAACAAAAATATGTAGAATTGATGACGAGCTCATTGCCATGATCTTGGCTTGCCTCAATGCAATAGAAGTGGTTTTAAATCAACAGTATAAGCGCTATTTTTCCATTACCATTACAGAAGCACTTTCCATTACCATTACAGAAGCAAAAAGAAACAGCTAGTGCAAGGCTTCATTACATAGATAGTGAAGAGTTAATGGGAATGTTCAGTGCTGCAAAAGGAAGATCTCCTAATGCATCTATTGATTATATATCTTGCAAATTACGAACCAAAAAGAATGGGACAATGGATTATCTGGATAATCTTGATGACTTTTCTAGAAAAATGGTAGTTCAGTGGTCTATTCAGGCAGCACGTAAAAAACGAATAAAAACTCGACTACAACATACTGAAATTAGAGCTGAGATTTCTAAAAGACAGACTATAAAACGCCAAAAAATTGATGAAAAAGAAAAAAGAAAGTTAGAGCAACAATTAACATTATTAACTATCAGTGAAATTCTGAATTTGTTTAAAAACTTATCTACTAAGCAAATTGATGATTTAAATGATGTTATGTGTGAAAGAATTGTTGGGAGAAATCTTTGCCATGAATGGTATGATTCCGATACAGCAATGACAGTCTTGTATAATGGCAGAGTAGAAAAACTTAAAAAAGCTCAGAAAGATATTATATACACTATTTCTTATTGGACTAGAGAAGAAAATGATACTGAAGCAGTTGATTATTATATGAAAAAATTCCAGCTAGTTGCTGACATTGTATCCGGTGAGTTGATGTTTTCCTAATGTAAATATGTTGCATTTATTTTTTTTATAATTAAAAATGCATTTTATTATCTTACTACTTTATTTTACTATTTTTTGACTTTCTATCTCTCTCTCTCTCTCTCTCTCTCTCTCTCTATATATATATATATATATATATATATATATATATATATATATATATATATATATATTTATATATATATCAATAATATGCAAATCTTTATATATCAATAATATGCAAATGTACAGCGAGAAGTGGTAATTGCAAAAAAAAAAAATATAGCAAGTAGTGGAACTTGCAAAAAAATATATAGCGAGTAGTGGAACTTTAAAAAAAAAAATATAGCGAGTAGTGGAACTTGCAAAAAAAAAATATAGTAAGTAGTTGAACTTGCAAAAAAAAAGTATAGCAAGTAGTGGAACTTTGCATAAAATATATATAGCGAGTAGTGGAACTTGCAAATTTTTTTAATAGACGGTTCTGGCTTACGTTCACGTTGTGTCTATTGTTAACAATGATTAATATATAGTTTCATTAATGGAATTTAATATCTTAATCATTAACTAAAAGCCAAGACGCAAACTAATTAGAATAATATTATAAAAGATTTTTTGTTTTTGAAATTCTTTTTTAGGTCAGAGGGGGAACCATCTATAACTATCACAAAGCATTGTGTGGTGTATTTTGAGTTTTGGTAAAAGATGTTTTTAAATTAAAGTGTTTATTTTAATTGCATTTAAATATTTTTTCGAATCTCATTAAAAATAGCTTCTTTTTTTTAGGTTGTCAAAAAAAAAAGGAAGAGGGGGGGGCAACGACACGCCCCCTCGCTCATCTACACCCTTGAAACAAATGGTGCGCTGCTAGTGATTTTGTAAAGTAGTAAAATATAATTTTTGATTTAAATACTAGATTTCTTTTTTAATTATAAAGATAAATATTTATATAAAGAGTCATTTTTGATAATAGGGTGTATGAAACCATCACCCTTACATCCACCCAATGGCAATGATTAGTCTTCTATATTTGATTGTGATCTGATAGCTAATTACAAAAACATCTTGCATATAAAAATTTACATTTTCATTAAAAGAAAACACTTTTTTATAAATATAGTAAGTCTTTATTGCCGGTAAGGATGGTGGTTTTGTGCCCCCTCTTACCCCCGGATGCGCCCATTGTCTAGAAACTTTTATAAATTTGTAGATGACTCTTGTATCTATCTTTTGATACCAAGATATAATCATTTGGATAAGAATTAGTTAAGTTATAATAATTTTAGTTAATAAAAACTTTATTTTGACCACAGTTTCTTCAACAAATCCTAATATCAAAAAATCGGTACTTAAAACGTCATAACTTTTTGTAGGGTGGTTCAATTTTGAAAATTTTTTCACTTTTAGAATATTGACATTAAGCTCTTTTTAATGATATATAACAACCTATAATTTGATGAATTTAAAATTTTCATGTGACATACCTACCATCAGATATAAATAAAGATATAAATAATTGTTTAAATGGAAAAACTCGCTTTATTTTTATGCATCAACCTCATTTTTTAATCATTGATTTTTTTTGATTTTGATTTAAAGTTGTACACTTGCAATATTAACAATAATTTCATAATATACATAATAATAACTTATACTTACAATACCTATACTATATGTTTATAATACTGATAAAATTTTTATTGATATGAACTTTTGCATTCAAACTTTAGTTATAAAACTTTAATTAAACTTGATAACTTTAACATAAATAACAATAACTAAAAAAAGATAATAGTTATTATATAGATTATAACCATATGCTTATTTATTATAGTTGAGTTATAGCAAGTTAAACACAATAAAATGTTAAGTTCCAGGTAATAGGTCTTATATGATATGTATCTTATGTATATCTTGTATTTTGCAGCATGTTCAAGAATATTTCTGCATGGTGCACTCTGACTGTTGACAATATTTGCATATTGATATGAGTAAAAGTGACTTATGAGTAAAACAACCAGAATGTATTTTTGATAAATATTAGTAATAAAAGGTTAGTAAATATAATTATAATAATAATGGTAATAACTTTTTATTATTAGAATTAGTGAGAGACTTATGTATAATAGAACTGTATTAACTTTGGGGACAAATATAATGATTGCAGTAAATATTACCCTTAATTATTACCTTGATTAGAGTAATGTAATTTAATATTATTTTTATGTGAAGAATATTTAATAAAAGTCAATATTTTCTAAGTTTTAAATATTATAAAAAAACATGTGTTTAAAAAAAAAAGTATTATAAAATTAAAAAATAAGTATTTAAGTATAAAAAAAAACATGTATTATTATATTCTATATACATCACGTTAACTATGTTGTCTATAAAGTAGGGGTTGCAGATGATATTTCAGCTTAAGCTTTAAACTCAGCTTTGGATTAAAGCTGAAGCTGATCAAGTCAGTTTAATTGGCTTGATAGCTGATAGTAAAAGAGAATAATACTCCATAAATGTTTTATATAAAAACATATAGGAATTTATTCAATGAAAATCTAAAATAGTGACAAAATTTAAATATACATGTGAAAAAAATTTAAATAAAATTTGCCAAAAGTTGTTGCTATTTATAAATGTTGCCATCAGAGCCTAGGCCTAGGACTCAAAATATTAAGGGACCCAAATTGGGTTTTTAAAAGTTTGTTTAAAAAGTGGTGCTTGAAAATCTAATTCCATTTTTTATTATCTTAAGGGGACCAACTATCCATCTTTTGTCAAGTTCTATTTTCTCATTGTTCCATTTCTTCAATTTTTCTTTATTTAAATATAAATTTACTCTTAGAATTTCTTTAAAGAGAAAATTGTCATTAATAACAATATCTTTTACTTCCTTCATTACAAATTCGATTGCTGAAAAACTTCTTTCCATTCAATTTTACTATTTATAAAGGTCCATTTGTAACAATTCAATGCTCTAAAGTTCATTATCCATTCTTCGATATATTTATAGCAAATTTTATAAAAATTTTTAACTTCTTTTAAAAATTCATTTTTTATTCTGGGATTGGAATCTTCCAAAGCAGTCAGTTTATAGGCTTTAATATAGCCTTTAATATTTTATGTAGTAGTGTAAGTATATATTTTTTAATTTAAATTTGCCTTTATTTTGCTTTTTTATATTTTTCTGCAAAATTGTTTTCTGTCACTCTATCCTTCTGAACTTATGTGATTAAATTTTTTTTTTCTCTTACATATTTTCTCACTCATCTTATCTCATCTGTTCATTCTCTCTTTTTTTTTTTTCATTTTTCTTAGTGTTATTCCTTTATATTTTTGTGTTAATTCCAACTTTTTAAATATTATTATTCCTTATACTTCTTTTTTTATTACTTGTATTAATGTAGTTTACTTTCTTTATTATTTCTTTGTTTTAATATTTTTTTATTTGATTTGTTTATTTTATTAAGGTGTCGCTCCATTGACTAGTTTTTAATATGAGTGACACCGAACATAAATTTGTAAAATATAATTAAGTTTGTAATTTTTGATTTTATGGTTAATTAACCATAAGCGCATGCGTAGTATGTACAGTAAGTTTTTTTTTCTGTTTATTTAATTAAATAAATGGATAAAAAAACTTTGCTTTACATACTACACATGCGTCAAGACTGTCAAGCATGCCGTACATACTGCACATCAAAGATCAGCCCGGGGATTACATACACAAATATCGGTGAGATATATCCATCTCTTTTCACAAATGTACTTTTGATGTTGTTAGAAAAAAGAGGTTTATAGTATCTATCTATCTCTCTAGGTACATAATACGGCCTCTCAATTGTGCTGAAAAAGGCAGCCATATGTGCTTGCAAAATTTAAATCACTGTCAAACTTGTGTCTGGTGTTTGCCCTGTTCTCTGACGTGCTGGAAACGACAAGCAATATGCGCCTGTGAAATTCAAATCGCTGTCAAAATAATTTTAAATATTTAATTAATAAAATTGAAATGAAATAATCTAAAAAAATGTTTTAGAAATATAAATCAGTACAAAATTATACAGTTAAGTACTTTCATTTTTATAATTTTATATTTTGAAAAAAGAGTACAAAACTTAGCAAATGAGAATGGTTGGTTGCCTTAAACTCAGTAAATGAGAATGGTTGGTCGCCTTAAACTCAGTAAATGAGAATAGTTGGTCGCCTTAAACTCAGTAAATGAGAATAGTTGGTCGCCTTAAACTCAGTAAATGAGAATGGTTGGTCGCAAAAGATGTTTTTTTTTTTATAAAAATATTGAGTTTAAAATCATTCTTGCTGTTATGTGATGCACTAGCTAGAGCATTTGTAAAGTGTATTAAAGGACACAATGGTTATAACTAATGCGAGTGTTGTGTTTAGAAAGGAGAGTGGTGTGGCAAGATAATTCTTCTACATATTTCACTAATTTTAAACATTGATTCAGATTTTTTGTCATCAAAAGTATTCTGAACATCTTAGTGGTGTGTTAAATTGAATTTAATTTTAACATGGTGACAAAGTTTCCTTTAGACTTTATGCATCTAGTATGCTTAGGGGTAATGGGAAGATTTGTCAACTTATGGTTAAATTGCCCAAATGTTGTAAATTGTCTCAGGAACAGTCAATACTTTATCTGGCGGATTGTTCTAGATACGTCATTACATTCCAAGAAATTTTCTAAAAAATCAAGGTCTTAATTAGATATTAAAAAATGGAAAGCAACTGAACTTAGACTATTTATAGTATACACTGGACCAGTTGTTTAAAGGGAATGGGTAAGCCAAAAATCTATTCAAACTTTTTAGATTTTTCAGTTGCAGTTCTAATTTTATAATGTTTTATTTTGTTATAAAAATATGTTTATTTTGCTTTTCAGCTAATGTACAATGTCCATTCATTAGCACATGCAGGAAATAATACAGTTAAATTTTAAGTACTTGATAGATGTCCTTCTTTTAAATACAAAACTTTTTCAGGAATTTGCAACTTTTTAGTTATATATATATATATATATATATATATATATATATATATATATATATATATATATATATATATATATATATATATATATATATTTATATATATATATATATATATATATTTATATATATATATATATTTATATTAAATTATTATTGCTCTGTTCTTTAAGAACATTGAGCACTCTATTTGTAGAATACACTAACATAATTTGCACTGTATATAAGGTATATACAATATACATATCAAATTATATATTAAATGCGGCAGTGGTGTAGTGGTAAGAGCGCTCGCTTTGTAAGTAAGAGGTTCGAAGTTCGACTCCCACCAGCTTGTCAAGGTTTGTGTTTCGGAGTTAAAGAGTTGAGAGAGGGTTGTACCACGATTTACAACAAAAATAAAAAATAAAAAATTAGCCTCCTTGACTGTAGTGGCCCCCTCGGGGCTCGGGGAGGTAAATAATTAAAAAAAACAAAATATGCAATATAAATAAAGAAAATATTTAATAATTTTATATAATTTTTTTATCAGTAACTAAAGGAATGTTATCAATTTATTATATGAATCATAAGCATATGCTTATCTATTACAAGTACATTTTAAAACGTTGAAATAAACGTCGATTATAAAATTAAAGGTTATGTTTTTCTACCTTCTATGGTGAAAATTACATTTTTTATTTGAAGAGTGTTGGGAGAAATCGTAAGATTTTTATAACATATTAAAAATAATGTATGTGTTACCTATAAAATTTAAAACTAACAGTTAAATTTAATTTTTTTATAGTTCATATTGAAACGAAATATTGTGTGAAGAGGTTTTCAAAGAAGTCGTCAAAGCTTCCGATTCCCGAAATATCCGTAAAAGCATTCGATACATGAATAATCGGTTAAAAGTTTGCTTAAAATCGACAGTGTAATTTTAATTACTATTTTTTTTTTAATAAACTATTCAATTTTTATATAAATTTGCTTTTTATGTAATTTTTAAACATTTAAACGTAGTTTTGCTAGATTTGCAAAACACGTTTAAATGTTTAAAAACATTTAAATTTGATTAAAATCGCTAATTTAAATTTTTCGAACATTTAAATTCGCGGCCAAGAGTCGGCGGGTTTACGATGGGTTTTCCATATGGGTCCCATTTGCAAACCCATATGGGTTCCTTACGGTTTTAAAGTACGGGATTTGACTGGGACCTATACGGGATACCCGGCGGGCTAACCCATATGGGTCCCATATGGAAAGCGCGGCCATGATCCGGCGGGATACCGTTGGTCTTCCCATACG